ATTGATTTCCAATTTAAAAACTGTAAGTATAAAGCTAATTCTAAAATATGACCTATACAAGTTCACCATTTATTTTTGTCTGCTGACTAGATGTGAATCAGTGATTCCTTGGTAAAAGATGTCATAACTACAAACTGTTGTGTCTCAAAAGCCTCACCTTCCACCCAGAGAAGCAGCTAATGGATATTAGTTCTAGAATTTTCTTTATCCATGTATCTCAGATTATCGAGAGTTCCTCAGAATACCAGAAAACAGTACATCACAGTCTTTCTCCAGAGCGAACTTAGCCACGTCAGCAATGTTCAAAACATTGTTTTAATCTGGGCCCTTATCATTCATATCCCAATTGTCCCACTGCCTCTGCCTGTGAAAAAGGAAAACAAAATATACCTTTGTACTAGCTGTGGCTGGATGGCTAATGGAGTGTCATCCCATACACCGCATGGTTCCATTCCCCGTCAGGGCACTGGTTTTGTCTTTTTGTTTTTTGTTTTTTCATATATTTTATTGATATTTTACAGAGAGGAGGAAGGGAGAGAGATAGAGAGCTAGAAATGTCAATGAGAGCGAAACATCGACTAGCTGCCTCTTCCACACCCCCTACTGGGGATGTGCCTGCAACCAATGTACATGCCCTTGACTGGAATCGAACCTGGGACTTTTCAGTCCGCAGACTGACGCTCTACTGAGCCAAGCTGGTTTCGGCTGTTTTTTTTTGTTTTGTTTTGTTTTAATATATATATATATATAGAGAGAGAGAGAGAGAGAGAGAGAGAGAGAGAGCGCGCGCGCACGCGCAAGCGCGCGCGCTCGAGCCAAGGATCTTTTGAGTTTTTCCCATGACTTTTAGTTTCAGATTTTTGTGTGTCAGTTCCAGTATCTGCATACACTTGACTTGCCCAAGTAGACTTCTAAGTGTCTTCTGGTTCTTCAGTCTAGTTATTAGTTAAAATCTTTTTTTTTAATTTTTTATTGGTTTTAGAGAGAAATGAATGGAGAGGGATGGAGTGAAACATTGATAAGAGAGAAACATCAATTAGCTAACACCTGCACTGCCTCCTATGAGGGTCAATCAAACCCACAACCAAGGCATGTACCCTGACCTGGAATCAAACTGGTGATCTCTTGGTTCATGGGTTGACACTCAACCTTTGAGCCACACTGTCCAGTCTAAAATCTTAAAGATTTTGTTTGAAATATTGCAGTTATTGTTGACTTTTTGTTCCTCCTAAAACTACCATGACTTGTTTAATTTTCGTCATTTACATCCTGTATATTACACTAGAGACTGGGAGCACGGATTCGTGCACCGGTGGGGTCCCTCGGCCCAGCCTGTGGGATCGGGCCTAAACTGGCTCTCCGGCATCCCTCGAGGGGTCCTGGGGAACTGCACCCCGGAATTGGGCTCCCTCCTCTTTGGTTCCGGGTGTGCCACCCAAGGACTGCAGCTGCCAAGTCATGGCAGCTCTGCAGCTCTTTTGTTGAGTGTCTGCCCTCTGATGGTCAGTGTGCGTCATAGCTACTGGTCAGACAGACAGTTAGGCTTTTATATATATAGATAGATTGCTTTATTAGTCAGGAAAATGATAACTTCCTAGAATTATGGCTGTCAGCCTGGACTTTGAATCTTATATATACCCTCAAGTTAACCTTACTGGTTTCATTGCATTGTACTATAGTAAGAATTTGGCTTACTGAAATGATAGAAGTTGAATCAGACATTGCCTTGATACCTGCTAGTAATTTTCCCATAGTTCAACCTTCTAATATCTTCCTGTCCTCCAGGTATAATTATAATTATGCTAAAGTGGCCATTAAGTTCTGGTCACTTGAGTTGTTTTTTTTATAAATGTTCTTGGTTCACCTAGGAAGGGGGATGCATGTCAGGAAAGGCTAAGTTATGCTGTGCTAACAATGACCCCAAAATTCCAAGGGCTTACAGTTTTATATGTCATTCATGCTGCAGGTCCTTTAAGAGTCAGTGCAGCTCCGCTCTAACATATTTCCTCAGGTCCCAGGTGGTGGAACAGCCTTCCCTATGTAGCCTGGGTCTCACAGCAGAGGGAGGGAGGGCATGGCACGCATCTGCTTGACTACTCAGTTTACTGGTTGAAGCAGGTCACATAGCCAGGCTGTACTTAATGGGCAGGAATGTATAATCCTCTTTCAGAGAGAGGCCCCAAACCCGGAGAACAATAAACACACAGTTCCCGCTGCCGTGGATCCTAAGAGGCTTGGAGCCTGTGCGTGCCGGCCCCTGAGGGGGGCACCCTCCTTAGAATCTCACTGAAGCCACAGCAGACTTCCTCCAAGGGCCGTCCTGCACGTCCGGCCACACGTCTGAGTGACCTCTTCTGCATGTTTCTCTTTTTAAAGCTATCTCCTTCTCGGGGTCAATTCCAAACTCTGAGTGGGAGGGCTGGGACAGTTCCCATAGAAGTCATGCTTCTATTGAAGGAAAGGAAGTAGATGATCCCTAACATTTCTAACTCAGATTTCTGCCTGAATATTGGGTTCATTAGTTGTTCACTGCTAGATAAGGGAGGAGCAAATTCATAATTTGCTGCCTCTTTATAGTATTTACTGCCTCAGGTGGTTAAACATTTTATTTTAGTCTTAGCCAATCTTTGAAAGGACCAGACAAGTGAAACCAGAATTCCTCCCCCTCTGTAAATCACCAAGCATTTATTTATTCAGCATAGTCCAGAGTATTCTGATAGTGGACCAGTCAAGTCAATGTGGAATTCCAGGGGGTTTTGCTGAACTTTATATCTAGAGAGAAGAGGTAACAGCTGTAACTAAGGCTGAAGAGATCTAATGTTTTAATCATTGGTAATACTTTGCAGACCCAAGAATTATCATATCGCTGCTGGGTGTGGATGGGTTTTCTTTCGGGAAAAGAGTCTACTTTAATGCTTTCCAAGACAGGCCCAGCTGGTGTTGCTCAGTGGATAGAGCATCGACCTGGGGACTGAAGGGTCCTGGGTTCAATTCCAGTCAAGGGCCCAAGTTGTGGGCTCGTTCCCCAGTTGGGGGCATGCATGAGGCAGCCGATCAGTGATTCTTATCATTGATGTTTCTATCTCCCTTTCCCTTCCTCTCAAGTTTTCCAAGATACACTAGGGAAATTCCTCCACTGATACTCAGTGATATAGGTTAAAAACATCTCAGTGCCTCAAGGGAAAGGATGTGATTTTTTTAATACCTAAGTTGTCACTGGAGCTGAAATCTTGAATGGGAGAGTAGGTATCTTCTTATCCAGGCATTGGCCCTTTCTGGCAAGTCTAGCAATCCCTGAGGAATTCTGCTGATTTGCTCAGAAAACTGCAGTGACATGGCCACAGTGAATCACTAGACAGAGCACAGCCCGTGAACACTGCTGTTCTTTGGCAGAGCCTTCCCTGTTGTGTTATTTTTTGTGGGGAGAAGAGGAAAGAATCCTGGGAAGGCTGGCATTCTTTTTCAAAATAAAAGTCCTGGCCTTTTCATTTAGATTGGTATCTTGAGCCTAAAACTCTTTTAAAGCCCTGTGGCAGATTCCTCAGTGGCACTTCATGGTGAAATCACCCTCGGCATGTTTCAGCTTCCCTTGGGTGCTGATCTCACAGTTCCAGTTTGGAAATTCACTGGAGGGGTGAAGCTCTCCACGACTTTGTTCTCGGGGCTGTTTGCGATGGACTTGACTAAGGAGGTGATTTCTCCAGTAAGTTGGTCACAGATGCTTCATAGTTTCCCTGTGCGTCTCCCTGTTGGTCTCCTGACTGCCGGCAAGGCTGCTTGCTTTGGACAGGGCCCCTTAATACCCCTCCCGTCGGTGCTTCCCTTCCAAACTGCTGGGTGGTCTGGGCTTGCCTCTTTCGGAGACTCCATCCTGAGCAGCGAGGCATCCCTTTTGCAAATTCTTTATTTTCTTTGCTCACAGATGCTTTTCAAAAACCTTTACCCACTACTTTTTGAAACCATTTTTGCCTCACTGCTTTTATTCAGTGTAATCCAGAGTATTTTGATAGTGGACCAGTCAAATCAATGTGGAATTCCAATGGTTTATGTTGAACTTTATGTCTAGAGAGAAGAGGTAACAGGTGACAACTAAGGCTGAAGGAATCTAATGTTTTAGTCATTGGTAATAGTACTGTGGAAACCCAATAATATTCATACTCTCCTTTAAAAAAAAATTTTTATTGATTTTTTAATAGAGAGAAAGGAAGAGGGAGAGTGCTAGAAACATTGATCAGCTGCCTCCTGCACACCCCCACTGGGGATGTGCCCGCAACCAAGGAACATGCCCTTGACTGGAATCGAACCCGGAACCTTTCAGTCTGCAGACCCACACTCTATCCACTGAGCTAAACCAGTTCGGGTTCATACTCTCCTTTTTAAAATATATTTTTATTGATTTCAGAGAGGAAGGCGGGGGGGGGGGGGGGGGAGGGAGAGAGAGAAAGAAAGTGAAATCAGGTGAGGGAGAATCATGGATCAGCTGCCTCCTGCACGCCCCCTACTGGGGATTGATTCCAAAACCCTGGCATGTGCCCTTGACTGGAATCGAACCTGGGACCCTTCAGTCTGCAGGCCGATGCTCAATTCACTGAGCCACAACAGCCAGGGCTTATCATACTTTCTTAAGGTTGTGGTAGAAGCTTTAGAAATTCACAAACATGCTGTGAAACACCATCGGGTAAGTAAGAAACACCCCAATAAGAGGTAGATGAAGGAGAGCCCCCCCCTTTGTAGTCGTCCTCTGGAGTTGGCTACATAGAGGAAAAGTGGCTTTGTGTGGACGGTTCAGCTAGCCCGCAAGTCCTCAGTTTCATTGCAAACAGGCCTCCAGGGAAGAGGAGGGAAGAGTGTGCCCACAGGGAAACTGAGATTCCACAAACGTAACTGCAGTTCCTCCAGTGCAATTTGCAGAATAACTAAGTCATCAAATAAAGTCAAGGGAAGGAAGCAGTTTCCAGCACACCGTTCGAAGTTTGATCCATCTGTCCTTCTCTTTCTAGGTACTTGGAAGTTCTGGTAAAACATACACATGTTTGGCTTCATGTCATTACTGTTCATGTCCTGCATTTGCCTTCTCCGTGCTCCGGAAGAGTGACAGCCTACTGGTGAGGACGGTGCAGTCTCCTCCCACTGCCACTGAATTAGGAAAGAAACCGGTGGCCCTTACTTCATGGCTTAAAAGTTGTACAATGTGGGAATTTTTTACTACATGTTGAAACAACTTGTTTATTATCTTTGATTTCAATTAGTCATCTCTCTTGGGTTTAACCTCCCAAAATGCTGTGTCATTTTTAGAAATATGACCAGATTTTTACTGAAAGGGTCATAGACAAAGTGTTGGGGAGGACAAGACAGTCCTGAATACTTGGCACTGAAAACGACTGGGGAATTAGGTAACCCAGTGGATGTATGAATCAGACTGGAGCCAAGTTGGCAACTTTCCATGTCCCAACTCCAGCCACGAGGTGTCTCTTCCCACTGCCCACAAACCAGCCTGGCACTGGCCCCGGATTCCACCTGAGGCGGGAGAGCACATTGGTGCCTCTGCCTGTTTCACAGGAGTCCAGAGCCTCGAGCAAGGAAAAGGCATACAGCTCTTTACTCCAAGGAGAAAGCACCACTCATCTAAGAGTAGGTAGCTATGTTTTAAGTCTTGCCAAAGAAGAAAAGTATAGCATCCATTCCATTCTTACCCTTTGTTATACACTCTTAAAAAAATTTTTTATATAAACGAGAGGAAGGGTAAAGATAGAAACATCGATGAGAAAGAAACATCGATCAGCTGCCTCCTACACATTCTCTACTGGGTATGTGCCCACAAGCAAGGTACATGCCCTTGTCCAGAATCGAATCTGGGATGCTTGAGTCTGCAGGTGATGCTCTATTCACTGAGCCAAACCAGTTAGGGCTGTTTTACACTCTTAACTTCATTAAACATCTTGGGTTTCATTGTACGAGAGGTTACATTCATAGCTGATGTGCCATAGGCTTATTTCACTGTAAAGTGTCATGATTAAATGGGGCCCCTTCAATCTCTAAAGCTGCATTGTGGGTTCAGTGATATATGGTCCAACATAGATCATCTCTCAAGAGGTGGGTATAGGCTGGTATATGTGAGGGTCCTGCCAGCCCATCTTTACCCTCCACCCCCACTTCATCCCCCAGAAATGTAACTGGTTGAAGAAGTAGACTAGATTCTGAGCACATGGTTAAAATGGGGACAAGAACTGTTCTCAGGAAGAGCTGTCAGGTTTAAATGAAACCATCTGAAGCACCCAGTAACACTGCTTCCGGAAGGCTGCTCGTTGCTGTTAACAGCTTCTGAAGGAAAGGTGGGAGAAGCATGACTTAGGGCTCAGATGAGGAGCCTGTTGTGGTGATATACCTGTGCCAGCCTGTTTCCCACAACAGCAGGCTGAGTAAAGCTTCCTTTGTGCTCTCTGACTTCTAGAAAGAATACATCTGTCTCGGCTGTCTCTGCAGTTTTTAAAGCAGTGTGTTAAAGGCGCGTAGTCTGTGTGCCCCACCCCTTTCCTGCTAACGGTAATGATAGTGAGAGGCCTCAGTTAGCCTGGCCATCCCAGTTTCTAACCGGTCTGTGTTTTGTATTCCAGTGCAAGCATCTCTTAGCAGTTTATCTTAGTCAGGTTATGGGGAACTGCCAGCAGCTAAGTGTCTCGGATAAGCAATTGACCGACATGTTATTGATGAAGAAACAGGAAGCATAAAAGGTACAGACTATCGTTATCTTTCAAAATAGGAATCCAAACAATAAGTCCCTTTAACCTATGGTTCATAGGGAAGAGAGCTGGTGCAGATCCCTTTTTCTTTGGGTCTGTAGGAGGCGCTGTGGTTGGAACCCAGGGTGTGTGATGGTTTGGAGCCTGTACAAGTCTCCTCATGAAAAATCTGAGCCAGTTTCTCAGCCCCATGGCACAAAGTTTCCTAGATGGAATCAAGTATTTTAGACTTAAATGAAGCATCATACCATGTCTTTTAAGTAACTGAGGTACAAGTAATTTTTAAGAGGTTGAAATGCTGGACAAAACTGAGTAGGATGAAATGTCGGTGAATAGTGTTCATTCTTTACCTTGGGTTCGGAAAATTATTCTGCAGCAATGAAAGATCAGAACAGAGATGTGGCCAACCAGCAGCAAGTACAAAAAGATTTACTGGGGTTCTGGTTCCGGGAGCTTCAGGTACCTGTGGTGCTGGTGCCAGAACAGCTTCAGTGGCTGTATTGTTAGAATGGTAATATCTAGACCTACAGAAGTACTGGTTTTGTCCTACCTGCATTTCTGAGCTTTATAACCAGCCAGATGAAGGGACTAAATTCATGTTCTGAAGGAAGCTAAGGATACTGCTATGGATTTCTAGCCTGAAAAAGAAAAGGCAAAAGAGAGACCAAGAAAAGTGTTAGGAGAGAGGAAGTGGGACTATCTGGTCCCCAGGAGAGTGCAGATGAATTATGATGGGTGGAAATGAGACAGATTCAGTACTTTACAGGCACAGCTGTCTGTCCACAGCCAAAGTGCGATCCTTGAAGGACGGGAGTTTGCTGTAGGGGTTTGTAAACCTGCATTGTCTTTACAGGATATTGCAGAAGCCATGAAGCGTGAACAAGCAGATGAAAAGATTTTACAGCCCTGGAAACCTCAGCCCAATGCCCCAAAGCGTGAGGTGCTGGTGAGGAGCCGCTTTGTTGCAGTGTTCTGTGGCTGGGCGAGCCTTGGTTACAGTGAGGTGTGGCAGTAAACTGAAGATTTTCGTGCTCCTTGGGAAACTTCAAGTGGATATAAGCTTCTATTTGTATAATTTTACTTAGTAAAAATTTCACACGATGAGATCCAGCAAGTTGGCAAAGCTTGAAGTTGGTAGAGAAGTAAAATTCAGAAAGGGAATCTGATAGAAGGAGGATCCCATTTCTTTAGTTTCTTTCTCTAGGGTTGTTTGCTATCTATGGAAAAGAATGCTTTCAAAATGTTATCTGATGATGTTCTACTTAAGAGTGTCATTTCCCAAAATTAATAAAGTAGTTTCTTGATCAAAGAATTATACTTTTAACTTTCCTGGTCTTCCTAGAAATGAGTATACATTTTTAGTATGTCCAACTTTTATTTTTCTATTGCCTCTAAGTTTAAAAAATATTTGTATTATAATAATTCACAGTGTTTCACAGAAAAAATAGTTTTACTCATTTTCTACCATGAAAAAGGCAGACTTTAAAAAAACAAAACATTATTTTACAATCCATTCAAGCTGTCAGCATCATCCACACAAGGGAGGTCATCCAGACAGAACCATATGTGTTTGTCAACCCTTGGAACCTACTAATATCATGTACATATTAGATATGTGGTAACTCCAGGGAGATGCTCAAAAGAGGCAACTTACATATTTGTGAGGCATACCTATCTTTCACGTGAGGATCATCCAGTCATGTCCAGTCCCTTTGTTTATTGTGGATTTGTGCCTTTTGAAGAGGACAGAGTCCAGGTCATAGGCCCATGTTGAGAGCAGGCTGTGCCCCCGCCTGCCCATTCCCACTCTTAAAGACATCTGTCTGGCAGAGAACATACCTGGAGATGAGTTTGTGAAAAGTATAGCGGAAGTCTTGGTTCCTGTAGGCATAAACAATGGGATTGACAACTGAGTTGGCATGTGACAGGAGAATAGCCATATTCATTGCCCACTTGGGCTTATCCTTAGCATGAGCTGGCTGAAAAAGGGTGACGCAGTTGATGGCATGCACTGGTAGCCAGCACAAAGCAAAAATTCCTACGATCATGGCCAGGGACTTAGCAGCGTGAATCTCTCGCTGGAGGATGGTCCTTGAGTGGTCCATCAGCTCGGTACGCTGCAGCTGCTTGCAGGCCACCATGAAGATCTTGATGTAGATCACCAGCATGATGAGCAGTGGGGGCAGGACACACCCAAAGAAGTTGAAATATACCATGTAGCTCATGGGGACCACATTCTCAAAAAGACACTTCACAAGGCAGCAGCTTTCATTCCTGGCTCCGTCCCTGGGCTCTGTGCAGTTGGTGGCACTGTCTTTACTGTTCCAGCCCAGAAAAGGGGTCAGTCCGATGCCAAAGGCAAGCACCCAGAGGACAGCAATGACTCTTCTCGCTCGGCTCCCAGTGACCAAACTCTTATATCTGTTCAAAAGAACATCATCTGTTACTGTCATTTTATAGTTCTCTGCAACCAAAGTCCGGAATCCCACCTCTGCTATTGTTCCATGGCCTTGACTGCTAATGCTGCTGAGGTTCACCCTCAAAGGGCACCATGGCCTGTACTCTCAGCACTAAAGGCACAAACAAGTTCAAAATGGATGCTTAGGTGACAAGGTGACACCTGAACAAAAGCCTGGAGCAGTGAAGGTTGGCCCTTGGAGTCAGCACTACCTGGTGGCTCTGGTCAAGAATCCTGGTCTCTCAAATACTCAAGAGGTTTGCCTTGAACTAGGGCAGGAATCATCCCGAATACCTCTGCTGGAGAACACGAGTCTGGCAAAGTCCCATCTCTACTAGCAGCAAAGTTTATAGGGAAATATCAAATACTAACTTTTAAGTTTAACCCATTAAATCTTATTTAAAAATCACTAGAAATCAGAATATACATTTTAGATATTTTGCTATAAAGTAGTCCATATGTGGCTTATAGCAAAGCTATACATTTAGCCATTAATAAATGCTCCATAAGTATGCATTCAATGTAATGTATTGAGTAAGTGAAATATATTTCCTTAACTTCTGGGAAGGAAATTTGGAAAGTTAGATACACATTACCTTTAGACTTGGCTGTGGAAAATGCCCCGTTCTCTTTGCTGCGTACTTTTCAGCATAGCCCACAGAGCCCTCCAGGCCTCAGCACATAGCCGGGCCTTTCATTCCTTAGCAGGGGCTCATCTGGCTCAGGCTGCTCTCAATATCAGACAAAACGTGTTCTGATACAAGAACACGTTTTATCTGATTTTTTTTTTTATCACTTCTCAGGTAGTGATGGCCTGTTCCACTCTGGCCTTATACACACACCAGTTACAGAACTTGTTTTATCTGTTACATTTGTCCTCTCAATTAGAATGCCAACCCCTGAGGGACTAGGGCCTTGTACCATTATATTGATACTAGAGGCCTGGTGCATGAAATTGGTGCACTTGGGGGAGGTGGTCCCCTCAGCCCAACCTGCGCCTTCTCCAATCTGGGACCCCTTGGGGGATGACATCCCTGTCACAATCCAGGACTGCTGGCTCCCAACTGCTCACCTGCCTGCCTGATTGCCCCTAACCATTTCTGCCTGCCAGCTTGATCACCCCCTAACCACTCCTCTGCCAGTCTGATTGACAATGAAAACAAGTTCATTTTTTCCTCACTGGCAGATAGTTTCCCATTCTAGCAGCCTTTGAATCACATGACCAAATGCCAAGTTTTAGAGACCACAACTGCAGGCCTTTGCCCAGAGGGTCTACTGCCTGGGCACTAAGCTTCTGGCTCAGACCATGTCTCCTGAGATCAAAACCAACCATGTCTCCTGAGATCAAAACCACGATCCCAGTTTATAGATGTGAAAACAGGCTCAGCGAGGCTAAATTATGGCCTGATGGCCCTACACTGCAGTCAGGACACAAACCCAGTCTAATCTGACTCAGATTTTGCCAAAAGGAGCCATTTACAGCTCTTCTCTCAAATCCCAGCTCTGACCCAGTCGCAGGTCAGCAGCTCCACTTCTGCCTCAGATACACTGGCTCCTGCCCACGCTGCCTGTGGGTCCATGGAGCGGCCGCTGGGAACTGCGCTCACAGGAACAGGCGTCTGCTACTTCAGTGGACAGTCCTTAAATGGCGACAAAGAGCCCTGCCTGCATGGCTCAGTGGGTGGGTGTCAACCTTTGAACCAGAAGGTTATGGTTTGACACGGTTGGGGCACATGCCTGGATTGTGGGCTTGATCCCCCCACTGGGATGTGCAGGAGGAGCTGATCAATGACTCTCATCATTGATGTTTCTCTCCCTCTCCCTCTCTAAATTTAAATAAAAAGTTTTAAAGACAACAAAGAGACTCGCTATTCTGTTGGAGGACACACCTAGATCGGAGGAGAGGTGTGGGCTCCAAAGACAATACTTCAGCATCAGAGCGCCAGCTCCTTGGTGCAGAACAGTGCCCTGAGGCCCTGCCTGGGACAGTGCAAGACGGTCAGCCGTGCTGTGGGAAGCAGCAGGCGTCCCTGCCCTGGGCAGGATGCTGGAAGGGGGCCCTCCATCTCTGGCACAGTGTGCAGGCTCTCATGACCTCCTGCCGTTCCTCTCCCATCCCATTCACGCTGTGCTTCCCCGGAGGCCCCTCTCCCGCCCGGCCCCATGCCTGTGCTCCTGGTGCCCGGCTCTCAGAACATGCGCGCACGTGTGTGTGTGTGTGTGTGTGTGTGTGTCCAAAGCATTCCTGAAAGGTGGGCCCACCTTCCTGCAGCTGCCCCTGCCAGCCAGCACTCTCCCGTGGCGGCACAGCACAGCAGTGCCGGCAGGAAGCAGACATGGTCCCAGGTGTAGGAAGCAAATGAAAGGCCGTGTGCAAGTGAAGGCAGCGTGGGCAGCCTTGTCATTCCTAACAGGCAGGCCGGTTCCGGCCCGCCAAAGGGCGTTCTGTGAAAGCCCACTACAGGGCACAGCGCACGGGGACGCCCGGCTCCAGGGAGGAGCTCATTAGCCAGAGACAGAACAGCACCCATGGGGGGGACTCGCCAAAGGGACAGCGGACACTGAGGCCGCGCAGTCAGAGGGCGCGGGTCCTGCCTAACGATCGCCGACCTACTTCTGGGGCAGGGTCTCCCGGCTCGGCCGCCCACGGGGCCAGCCAGCTCCTCCTGGGGCTCACACACCGCGGGACCACACGGAGCGCTGTGGCCGCCGAGGCCGTGGATCCGGGGCTTCATGTTCTGTCCAGCTCACAGCGGCATTCCTCTCTACCACAACACTTCTGCTATAAAGCATCGTGTGTTCTTAGAAAACCTCATATTCTCTAAAACTGCACATGAATATCAGGACTTGTGTGGAAGTGGGGTTAGGATAGGCCACTCAACGCCTACCGATTCTGTAACCGGAGCGCTAGGAAAGGACCTCGGACTGTCCAGGCGCCAGCGGCGGGGCTGGGGGGGCTGCCTCAGGGAGGGAGTACGTCCCGGAAAGTCTAATGCAAAACTACCGTACGGCCAGCGCAGGCCGACGGTGCCACGCAGGCACTCCGAGGAACTCCGAGCCAAGCGCCCATCACTGGGCACCCGGGCCCGTCCTGAGCAGGGCGGCTGGGACTGGCGTCCTGGGGAGCGAGCCCCAGGGGGACAATGCCTTCGCCCCCTGGGTCCCGAGTGCCCAGCGGCTCCTGCCGCCCCGCCGCCGCCCGGGCCCAGCCGCCTCCTGCGCGTCTGTCCGCTGAAGGTGGCAGAGCCCTCCCATCCCGCTCCCTCTGCCTGCAGAGCCCAGGGGAACCGGGCAGCGTCCCAGCGCACACGCGCTGCGGCCCGTCCTGTCCGGAAACGCCCTGCTGCACGGCCGGTTCCTGCTCACCTTCCTCCAGCCTGCACCTCTGTCCCCGCTCTGCTCCCTCCCGACTGCGCCCCACGAGCGTGTTTAACGTCCACTTGGTGGCTCTGAACAAAACGAGACGTGTGTGTGCGCGCGCGCGCGCCTTGTGCTTCAGCTTCTAGTTCAGACGAGGAGTCTGTATAAGAGCTTGAAGGTTCATCTATTGAGTAGTCGTTTCCCATTTTTCAGGTTTCTTTGGAACCAATCGGGGTTCTTTCTTTTTCTTTTAAAAAAAAATATATTTCATTGGTTTTTTTACAGAGCAGAAGGGAGGGGGGAGATAGTTAGAAATATCAATGAGGAGAAACATCAATCAGCTGCCAAGGCACGTGCCCTTAACCAGAATCCTACATGGGACCCTTGAGTCCACAGGCTGACACTCTATCCACTGAGTCAAACCAGTTAGGGCAAAACAGGGTTTCTTAAAAGTTGTCATGGACAGAAGAAGCAATAGAAAATTTGAACAGCACTGCATCTAGTAAAGAAATAGAATACACAACCAAGAATCTTCCCACACAGAAAAGTTACAGTGTTTCCCCGAAAATAAGACATCCTCCGAAAGGTTTCCTTCTGAGTGAAATATACGGCATCCCCCCAAAATAAGCCCCCCCCCCTAGGCTAAACATGAGAGATTTGGTCCACTGATTCTGAAAGAAATGGAGTCACTAGAAATTCACCAGGAAATTCAGGAATTGGATTGTTATGATGATGTTCCAGAAGATGATGACATGATTGTCATTGAATAAATGAGTGAATTATTGATACTGTAGGATTCTCAGTTTGTCTGGTTTGTGTTGACAACTACCGTACTAGCCCGTACCATATACAGGTAACAAATTTCCTTTGTTTTCGTTTAACAATAAATGTGCACTGTATTCTTCTTCATGGAAAAATAAGACATCTCCTGAAAATAAGACCTAGCGCATCTTTGGGAGCAAAAATTAATATAAGACACTGTCTTATCTTCGGGGAAACAGGGTAAGGCCCACGTGACTTCTCTAATGAATTCTATCAAACATGTAAGGAACAAATAAAACCATTCTTACACAAAGTGAGCAGATACCGTTTGGTTCTACTTATATGAAGTCCGGGTCTGGGAGTGGGGAGGTCTCGCACTTACTATTTGTGGGAACTCCGAGAGGCCACAGCTCGGGGCAGCCTGCGGGAAGGACAGTGCCCACCGGCCCGCCAGACAGCCCGGGTCCCAGGCTGTCACTCCGAGGAGGCGGGCCCGCCTCTCCCCTCCCTCGGGCCCCCCTCCTCCGACACGCCCCTGTGGGAACCGGCTGACCCAGCTGGGCCGGCCTGAGCCCACTGCCCCTGGGAAGGTGGGAAGAGATGCCATTGTCCTCAGTCACCCCAGGGCGATGGGCGAGGGTGCCGGCGCGCCCTCCAGCTCAGCACGCCAACCTGTGGCCCCGTGGCCCGTGAGGTCCGAAGGTCGGAGACCGCGGGCCCACCCAGCGCGCTCTGACAGTGACCCAACCCCGAGGCTGCGGAGGGGCCAGGACGAGGTCTCCCCCAGCTCCCGTGGAGGCTGTTCTTTTGGGGAGTCCCATATTTTGGTCTCATATCGGGA